AACAAAGCATGGAACACAGCTGTTTCACAAGTTTATGTTTTTTCCCACTGGGCAACTCAGTGGTGGCAGGCGCCACTCGTGCTTGGGACTTTGGTAGCTGTGGTACCTGCATCTCCCACTTTGCTTGCACCGACCCTTCGCTCCGTTGCAATCCAACTCGACTGTCTGGACTAGGAAGCGTGCACGCTTGGAAGCCCATGTTGTTGGGTCCTTTCAGAGGCCTAACTTGATGCGAAAAACGACTGAACTGACTCTTCCCGATGTGGGAAGAGATGCCAACAAATCACGTATGCTAGGACCGGACAAAACAATGCCCGCAAGGCAGTCCTACTCGAGACCTCCTGACCGCCCGTCATTGACAAACAAAGCACGGAACACAGCCGTTTCACAAAAATGAGATGGGTAACTCAGCGGTGGCAAGTGCCGCTCGAGCTTGGGACTTCGGTAGCTACGGTACCGAAGCGCCCATTGCTTGCGTGCTTTCTTGTCTTGTGCGCAAGTCGAAAAGATGCAGAGATACCTGGCTGCCGCATGACAGCACTTGCCCCGCGGGCAGCGGATTGATTGATTGATTGATTGCCTGTGGGCGCGAACACCCTTGCGTCTGCAAGGCAACAAAGGCTGCCCCAAGCTGGCTGAATCACGATACGCGGGCAGCGCAAAGGTTCTTGTGAATCGAAAAGAACGCCTCAGAGGCCTAGCTTGACGAGCGATCGTACACTGAGAGTCAGATCTTGAAGAGATATTAAAGTTGGCTTCATGCGTACATGGTCTGCACTGCATGCGTCCACTGCATAAGAACACAGAGGAGGGATTTCTGGCAGCAGGATCCGGATGCACTCGGTTTCGGAAGCAGGCTGAGCAGCAAGATATCCTCTGAGGCTGAGCACTCCCAGAGCTGCTTAGGAGAAGTCAAAACCTTCAGAATCTACTGACTCTACTGTCTGGACTGGGAATACTGGGAAGCATGGGAAACACAAGAAGCAGCAATAACCGGGTGGGAACGACTTGGACAGACATGGAGATGGTTGCAAGCCACGCGCAAATGACGCCAAGACATCGAAGTGCAGCGGGCTCCAGGAGTATGGACGTTATGGACGTCACTGTACACTTGCGGTTGGATGCCTTGCGTGCAAGTCCAACATTGTGCCGGGAACGGCGGTGAAGATGCGCAAGACATATGGCAGCAGAATGCGCTCGATTTCGGAAGCAGGCTGAGCGGCGACATATCCTCGGAGGTCGGGCGCTCCCAGAGCTGCATAAGAGAATTCGAAACCTTCAGAATCTACCGACTCTACCGTCTGGACTGGGAATACTAGGAAGCATGCGAAATGCCAGTAGCAGCAATGACCGGGCGGCACCGACTTGGACATGGAAGTGGCTGCACGTCACTCGCAGTGGTACCCAGACACTAGAGAGCATGGCTTCAGTTGCAGTCGGCGCCAGGGCCGGCGCAAAACAAACGCACAAGGCAGTATCAGCCCAAATGCACTTTCCGCAAGGCTGAGAAGCCCCTATGATGCGGCATCGGAGGTCGGACTCATAGTTGAGCACGCATGGCCTTTTTTTTGGTTGGAGGATGCAGTGCTGTAGTGCCAAGCAGGCCAACGGCGGTATGGAACGCGACCCTTCCACAGCGGCCCATGGTCCGGATCGCGGCAGTCTTTGGCAATGCCTGCAGCCGAAGTCAAAATGTTGGGCATTCGGCATGCAGACGCCTTCGACTGGCGCGCCATCGCAAGAGCTGCAGGTGGGCTAAACACGTCTTGTGCAACAAATTGGCCCTGCCAGGCCCGCGGAGGGCTTGAGAACTGGAGAGGCTCTAAAGATCTCTAATTAGACACGGGTGGGCTTTGTGATAGGGTGTTCTGCTCGAAGGACCGGAGGCAGTCGTGGCGCCCACATGCGGGGTGGGGGCAGGCGGAACACCCGGCAATTTTGCGGCACATCACAGCTTCGCTTCTTCCGGTACCTCCACGGCTCCAGAGTCAGATCTGCGTTGAGCAAAAAGAAATGAAAAGACAGCATGCGGCATGCGAAACATTTCTGTCGGGCCTTGGTCATAGCGGATCTGCTCTGGATCCTGTAAGCACAAGCCGCTTGCAACAAGATCCAACAAAAAAAGCAACCGAAAGCAAACCGCGAGTGACCCTGAAGGCTCCAAGCCCTGCCTGCCTGATGACTCGATGGAGAACCAGCCCGCCACAGGCGCATTTGCCTACAACCTCGATGCCACCGAATCTAATCTAGTCATTGGAGCACAGGAAACTTGGAACACATGATTTGATCGACTCTGTCTAGCACGCGCTAGACAAACATACACTCTCTTGCATCTGCATTGCACTCTCCGTCTGTCTCGCGCACGGACACAAATTTGCTTAGCGTCCCACTCATGCCTGCCACTTTGTGCTTCATGAAGTTCACAGCGGAATCTGCTCTGGATCTTGTCAACACCAGCGGCCTGTCTCGGAAATAGAAGCGAACCGCGAGATAAACCCTACAAGCTCCAAGCCTCTGCAGATCTCTGCAGGGATCGCACAGGGTTGTTGTCGGATCGTGAGTGGTGGCGGACTCCAACGCTATCGCCTGCGGCAGGGGAATGTTTTTCTGCCAAAGGTCCGCCCAGATGGCTTTACCCAGAGTGGCCACTTCTGTCCAATACTTTACCTCCGACCCCGCTCTGCCCTGCCTATTGTAGCCCAGCTTGTTCAGCAACATGTGTGCAATGAGCTGCCGGCTGCTCGCATCTGATCCAAGAAGTCCTGTGCAGACATAGACATGAAGGGGCTCAGGGAGCTACGCTAACGCAGGCATGGGTTGTTCCTGCAAATCACTGATATGAACTGGATCAAAACAGGGTTCCAGCTGCAATCATGATCATGGAAACTCCTCCACCCCAGCCTCGACGTACATGTTGGCACGCGAAAAGTTCCTGCCGCTGAGCAGTATGTCTCAGTCCTCAACCCTGAACCCTGGACCGTAAATTCGTGCCTGCACCACCCCTTCAACCCGAAGCCCCAAATCCCCGATTATCCCCGATTATCCCCGATATCCCGGATCCCACATTGCACCCTGGCCCCGACAACGGAATAGGGCTTGGGGCCTGGGGATGCTTAGGGAGCTATGGCTTAGGGTGACCCACAAGGAGCGCCTGTTGCCACTCTTCGACGTCCTCGACGTCAGCGGGCGATGCCTCCATGGCCTGGTTGTGCATCTCGTGGATGTCACAATATCAATAGGATTGTCAATAGGTCCAGGGAAGGACAGCTATTGATGCGGGAGCCACCCCGCGGGTAAAAGGCCAGAAAAAACTACTCCAAGAAGTCGCAGTAGATCGGAGACGCCAAAGAAGTGGCGGGGCCAAACCACAGTGTTGATGCAGGAGCCACCCCGCGGGTAGAAGGCTGGGGTTCCGGAAATCCGGGAGTGGACTCCGACAAGCGGAGAAACTACACTCACCTGAAAGCCAAAACGCCTCAACAAAAACACCGTGCTGGACCCTTAGAATGCCTGGTTCCTGTCGCGCTATCGTGGGAGCGACATTCAGCTTTCCAAAAGGCAAATCTTGAAACCCAGACGGGTCCTAACCTGGATTTGAGGGTGTGGATCCCTGGCGCATTGCTCTACCTTTGGGCCAGGCAAAGCACAGAATCGCACTCAGAATTTTCCTTGGAGCAGAGCAGCATTTCAATGCACATGGAAATCTCCTTTTGGAGACATTGATTCGATCCTGAAACCTTCTAGAATGCGAAGCTGACCCAGGAAATCTCCATAGAAGCACGAGCATGGGACGAAAGACACAAAGCAACATGCTAATTGAACCACTCACGTCTGCCATGCGCAGCTGTTGTGATCAAACTGGCTGAAGCCACTCACTACACGACATTAGGCATGCAGCGGCATACGTCTTGTTTTGCTGGGAAAAAGGCTTTCAGGTGTAGTGATTTAGTATGCATGGCAGGCGCAGAGCTGTGTGGACGCGTTGACTGTCAGGCAGCGTTGACCTCCAAAGCATTCAGCAGGCCATCCAAGTTGAGTGGTCGAAGACAAGCGCCTGCTAGATGTACGTGTCGGTCATCGGCGAGCCTTAGATCTGTTGCGTTCAAGCTTGGCCACGTGGCTACTCATGGACGATCCCCGATCGTTTTTGCAAAGTCCCCGGCGTAGGAGGCCGACATGGATGCGGAAAGACTGCTCGAAGGCTGCCATGAAGAAGCTCGTGAAGCCAATGTGAAACACGCAAACAGCACGTGCGCAGGTTCTTATCTCGGACTCGTGGCACTTCTTGAGCACCCGTCTCTCCATGATGCCATGCAAGTTCAATTTATTCGGAGCCGGACTGGTCTGAAAAACAGACGTAACAAAGTAGTCTCTCTCGGAAAGCACGCGCAATAGCCCATAATGCCATAACACAGTTGAGCTCCAACACTTGCCGGGTGGACCCTTCCGCGCGGCGTTTGCTTCTCGGAGCGCCACGTTTCAATCCTGGGGAAGTGTGCTGCTCAAGAGATGAATATTGCAAAATATGCGGCATGTGATTTTTAGCCCTCTCTCTAAGAAAAGCAAAGAGCTGCTATGGGATCTTTTGCTGCGTCAAAGAAGCTTCTGTTGCGATTCCAGCTGCGACTTCACCTGCGCTTCAATCACAGAGCGAGATTCGGTCTTAGAAGCCGAAACCGTATACAAATCTCATTGATTTCTCATGTTCCTCTGGCCGCTTGTACTAAATTGTTTCGGCAGAAGCAATCACCGCGCCAATGCTTTCTGCAGCATGCAAGCTGCATGCGGAACACCCCTGCAAGCGATTCTGTCCGAAGGCTTGCGTGAAAGCATTTGCTGGTCATCCATGTGCAGCAATGCCACAATCCCCGGGCTTACACATGGTCCCCTCGAGCTAACGAGGCTTCAAGAGTCGAGCCTATTGGTAGTTGAGACCCCGGTCCATGACCCTGCCCCACACAGATGGAACATGTCTCAGGTGAAGCTTCCGTCTGACGTGCTTACAGGCCCCTCACGCCAAAACGTTCCGCCGCAGCTTGGATTTGCCTGTGGTATGTGGCAAAGCTACGCCAGGTCCAAGCAAGATATCATTCGGCGACACAGCTTGAAAGCGTGACCTTCGCAGCCGGCAGCGCATCTCCGCAAAAATCTGGCAGCAACGATCTCAAGGAGCTGTGCTTAGACTCGAGCGAACGCTGTGCCCTGCCTGGTTGTTCCCAGCAAAGATGTCATCCTCTGGGACCAGAGCAACATTCTCCTGCCACGAAGTTTGCTACGAAGTTGAAGCCTCTTGTATTGCCTGAAGCCATGAATGCTTCAAACACGTTGTTTTACCTGGCCTGGATGAAGGAAAATTGGAGCTCGTGCTCGAACTTGCCTTTAACCCGTGGGATTGAATCCAGGATCCTCCAGAAGCGGCTTCAAGGCACTTTTGTACCGGTTTGCGACTTGCGTTGACTCTCCCGACTCGGGACGATGACATTCTGAGCCGTGAGCGTTCGAATGTCCTTTTTCGTGACAGCTTTGGCCTGTGCAGAAGGCTGCTGGGACTTGAATGGTTTTGGAGAAATCCTCGGACATCTTTGGACTATGAGAATCGCATTCTCTCCAATCTCATGACCTGGGACGCCTTCGCTCCTTTCAGCCGCAGTGGCCCCTGCAGGCGACATCGAGACATTCACTCTTCTTGCTTTATCTTGCTTTGCCGTTGTCTCTCTTGCTTGGTGGGTCTCAGGCCTGAAAGTCCAATCCATGAACTCCTCAGTTCTTATCGTGGTCAGAGGAGCAAGTGAGCACCCGCAGTGGTTGATGCGCGGTTCGTGGGGCCTGGGTGCTGGGTGCAGACAAGAAGCTATACCTCTGCTTGTTCGAGTATGTGAGCTCAAAGCCTGCAGACGGCAACAACTTGTCGAGACGAGCTATTGAACTGTGCAGGAGAGATGCATCAATCTTCTCTTCTTCAACCGTCCCTTGGGCGTAGTTTTTCTGCTACATACTTGGATGCCCGGATCAATTGAGGCCCCCCCCCCCCCTGCAACAGCATGGACTATGTATGTGCCTGCGAAGACCATCTGGCCCGTCAGACTTGCGTTCTCATCTAGGTGTCCAAGCAGCCGCTGTACCTGACAACAATCGCTATCAGACGCTGTTATAAAATGTCATGATTGCGGTTTTTGACGAAAGAAATTCTAGGGCCTCCTCAGAGATGTGCCTAACTGTTTCTGTTTCGGTTCTCATGTCGGCCCGGCCTCGTCCACATCAAAAGTATCAATGATCTTGACCTTCAGGTCTTGTCTTCCCATGAACTCAAGCTTGCAACGCATTGCAAAGCAACTGCAGCACCTTTGGTATGGCAAAGAGCTCCGTCCAGCCGCGCTTTGTTCCGCGATCCTTAGGTCGCTCCATGCGCCGCTCATGGCTTCTGAACGTTCCGTCCGAAAGGTGGCTCTTGTTGGGGGAGTGCCCGTAGGGTGTACAACCTCCGGGCTTGTGTCCGATCTTCTTACAAGTGTTGGCGCAATCTTGCACACCACTGAATGAAATCGCATGACCAGAAAACTGCAGAGTGGCGTAGCAACACTCTCCGTGCTGCTCTCAGCCTGACATAGCAAAGTTCCTTCGCACACCCATTGGTTCTCAGTCAACCTCGAGCCAAGCCACGTCCAAACCATACCCAACCAGCCAAAGATCGGGCCTTACAAGCTTCGTATTGATCAGCAAAGACAGTTCAACAAACAACGAGCTTCCGGCAGATTCCTGACACCAATGATGTCCGCCTTTCACGAGGCTTAGGCTTACTTTTCGGGGATCCCATGGCTGAGCAGCCAGCCTCTGGCCACTCGCGTTGGCGTTCTTTGCTAAAGAGGCACACCGTCAAGACCTTTTCGGAACTTCAGACTTATGCCTTGGGCCTTGTGCCAATGACATTGGCCGTCTGGCTTGATCTGACCGTACTGGGCGCCCAGCATCATTTTCAGTATGAGTGGCTGATAATCTTGAAAGGAAGAACTGCTTCATTTCCTGGTGGCACGTTCGCACGAGGCAGCGGCTGTCCCTTAAGACTGAGCTCCAACAAGCATGGTCGCTCAAATGGCCAATTCCTGCATTGTTTTACCGTTGTCCAGCAGCTCATCGATGAGTACAACCTTGGCGACAAGAGGTTTAGTATGTTTAGTTCAAGCTTGTTGGACACGATCTGCCGCATTCAAAGCAAGGCCTTGTGCGGTGCTTTGGTTGTCGTATCGCAGAACTTGGAGCTCGCAACATCTGGCCCGCTGATTTCGACAGAGCCTGTTGTCGGCGCGAAGCAGCTCCACCCCCACTAGCTGCTCATGAATGCTTCTTGCAACAGCTTACTTGCGCCAGGCGGAAAGAATGTTTTTTGAACCCTCAGTAGCAATAGGTTGGATTAGGTTGGGCTGGGGCATGGCCTGACTGCGAGCGCTTCTCCTTGTACGAGGAAGCCTACAGGCGCGGACGGGGAGCTTTTTGCCAGTTCGCAACTATCCGGCCTCAATGAAGTACACCGAGTACGGCCCTCAGCACGTCTTTCCGTGCTACAATCGCGACATAATCAATCATTATCGCAGCTCGTTGCCCGGAAGCTGGGGCTTGGTCGGATCAGGTTCTTGCCTTGGCAAGGGGCTACAGTCAGGCCACAGACAAAGCCGTGCACATACGTCTTAGCGCGTTGCATCCGAGATACACAGATCAGAGAGGAACATGAAGGCACCTTTCAGGATCGCCACAAGAACGATACCTTAGATTCCCGATGGCTTAGACGAGCATTGCCGTGATTCGAGCTTCAACTTTTGGCTTGTGGTGAACTCTAAGGCCTGTACGTTCCCCTTTGCACCATGTCTCAATCCGCCTCGCCGCAATCCGCACACCAGCCTCACAACATCGCGCATGGAAACAAAATAGCATCAAGCGGCCACCAACAAAACGTGACCAAACTCCACCCAACTCCTTGCCTCGATCTCCTCTCTCTTGAGGATGAGTCTGTAGTTCTTCTGGTCCTGGGCACCAGAGATGCGCGATGCTGCTGCTGCTGCTGCACCACAGCTGCCATAGCTGTTTGGCAAGGTACTGCTTGAATTTGTTCCATTGTCCTGAAAATACTTGGACTCTGCCAGAGGCGGCTGCATGTTGCGATCGCCTTGGTGCGAGCAATCTTTCGAACAGGGAAATCTGAACTTCTTACCATGCTGAGGCACGGAGTGGTGCCAGAAACTCCTCACTCCGTGCCTTAGTGTGATCCACTTGCTAACTTAGGAAGTGTTGCAGCCGACCTTCTATATTCCTGGGAGGCCTGACCAGGGTGTCCTTCAACACTTCTGTATGCTCACGATGCTTCTCTGCCTGTTTTTGGCACTGGCCCACGCCACAAAGCAGTCACCACGAACAACGCGGCTTGCAAGGCATGATCAACCAAATTCAAGGAACAAGGTTCAATGCAGAGAGCAGCGTGACTGTGAAGATCTGAGCTATTCATTCCCAAAGTGCCTCGCAAGCCAGGATGTCTCGGAACACCCCTTTCACCTTTGCGCGCGGCAAGTTCGGTGGCAAGGAGGGGGGGGGGCAGGTGTGTTGGTCTAGTTGAATGTATTCTTACCATCCCACAAACCAATTTGATAATGAATTCAGTACGATTACTCTTGTTCGTCGCTTCTGTTTCTATTTTTGGGGGCGGGGTGGTGGGGGAGGAGCTGTTTTTTCTCGGTCATGCTTGTGGCTGCCCAGCATGTTGCGAGAGGCTGAGAGTTCTTATGAAAGTCTTGAGATTACATGGCTGATAGCCAAAACCTTCAAGTGAGCATCTCGAATTGACTAATAGTTGCGGATAAAATGGAATTAAAGAGACGAGTGCTGTAAAATATTGAATACTACTGAAGAAGCATGAATACGAATGGATACTTCTTCATCATCAATAAGTAGGAATGCCAACAATTAGCTAGTAACTAGTCATAGCTAGGAATAGCTTGAAATTTCTTGTCATGGGCTAACTCGTGTTAACAAATACACATACATGACCGTTAGTACGAATGAAAATTCAGCAAGCAGATTGATGAACGATACTACTGAATTGTAGTGAAGATGAGTAATATTGCCGGTTGGTCACAAATGACTAACAGTTGAAGTATTTGATAATGCGTAGTGGCATGTTAAACAACTTAGGAAAATTCGGTACAAACAAACAAGTAGAAATAACTAGTACGAATATATTCTAACTGGTAGAAAGTGCCGTCTACACTACGTGACTCGCAGAGCAGACCCTCATTCGCTCCCATACAGTACTCTGCTGTACGTGTAACATTTCTTTAACAACCCTGTTCACTCCAGGAAAGTGCTTTGGTAAAACCACCTTGTGGTAAGGACATACAGGAAACAAAGGTGTATCAATAAGGCCTGACATTCACTCTGTTCATCTGTTTCCAAGCTTTCTGTAACCGCTGTGTGACCAGGCCAGTCCACTCGGACGGTTTGCACCCGTTCGGTGAAACACATGGGGGTCGCTCCCACAAAACCACGAGATGACTCGCAAGTCCCTGCGCAACCCCATGAGGACTCCCCCAGAGACCGAGTCCAAACAGGGCTACAAACAGCTGCCTGCCGTTTTAGATCACACCTGAACCAAAATGTCATGCAGCACGGAGATTAGAACGATACATGTGCGCCCATGCCGGCCAAGCACGGCACGTGGTGATTTTTTGTCAAGCGTTCTCGATTGTTACTACTTATTCTTAGAAAGTTTGACTCTCCCGAAGGCACTGTGCTCCATTCCAGCGTTACGGATACAACGCCGCTGATGCAGGACATTCATCTCAGCTTGCTGCCAGGGGAGGCACCGGCAGCACAGCAATGTCCTCTTGATCGAGGCGCCTGCCAGCCCATGTTTGTCAGCGCAGCATCGTTCATTCGCACGCAGGATCTTGAGTATCCGGGGCACCGCACTGCACGTCTGCCACTTCATTGATGCACACATTGGGATGGGCCCTTACTCTGCAAGAACCAACACAAGAATGCACTTGTTCAGGATATCTGTGCGCGGATATGACACGCTGCGGCACATGCAGCAATCGGAGGTTCTTGGTTTACAGCTGGTTTCAGCCAAGCGGCAGCGCGGCCAGCCACCTGAGCTGTCCGAATGCAGCTACAGCGTTTGGCTTCTGTATTCCTGCTAAGTTAACACGCAGCCCTTCACACCTGGGGAAAAAATGCAACAAAAACCTGCACACTGCAGTGCCATTTTGCGGGCTCTGCGTAGAAGTGGGTTGTTGGGAGTTGGCAGCCGCCTGAATTGCTACGAGTCGACTTGGAAGCCGCAGAGGTCCCAGTAACCGCAGTAACCGTTCAGCCCGGCCACTCGTCAATGAACTGCTGCTTGTCCGGCAGAGCCTGAGAAGCATTTGGCACGAAGGCCGGAAACAGCTCATCCCAGGGATTACCAGGGTCGGCGCTGTAAGAAGCAATGCCTTCAACGATGACGGCCTGGCTATAAGTCTCCACTAGACTATGGCATTCAATGTAGGTAGCTTCGCGAACAGGTTTGCCACATCACCGCACCATGCTGCACTACGGCCCACCAGTAGAATCAGTAGAGCTTGCTGGACCCGAACATGTCGGAGCTCACATTTCCGCTGCTGAGGGCAGTGGACCTTTTACGGTGGTCAACCACATATTTGCCATGATGCTGCTGGCCATGACAGTCGTGGACATAGCTTGCTGTTCCACGCTCAGCTTGGCCACGCACGCAAGCGTTTTGTCGGCCGTCCTGGTGGCTGCATTGGCTTGCCTTGGCAGAAGTCTGGCATGCCGCATGCCACACCCATGCTCATCTTGCGATGGACCGATATCAGGAAACTTGTTTTTTGGCTCTCATGCCAGGATGACCGGTTTGACACAGGTGAAACATTGGTATCCTTTGCAGCACGTCTAATGCTGACCTACATGTGCTGAGTCGTTTTGGCTCAAGCAAATGATCGGCTCTTCTTCCGACAGGCTGCCATCCAATTGAAAAACAGCAGTGCTCCAGTATTTGTGGCACCGCAGAGCAAACGGCATTGAAGCCCCACATGGCAGAACCAACAACTCCCACTCCCAGTTTCAAGGGCCCTTTTATTTTGAAAACGTGGAGCCATACACAACACATCATAACAACACCATACGCTACTTTGCCTTGCCTCGGGGGCTGGCTTTGGGGCTGGCAGCCTCTTTTTGTGGAAAAAGACTCACTTTCAGCATGATGCAATTTCTGTCAAGTCCCGCCTTTCCATAGAGGCCGTTTGCGGACATTTGCCGAAACCTCACATCACCCGACATGATCCTTTCAAGAAGAACGTTCAGCTGATATGCAATTTCTGAGGAGGGAGCGGTATGCCCTTCTCCTCCAAGGCATCCCTGCACACATCTGTACTTAGTATGCGACGCACCTCATACCTCTTCATGAAATACATCACCCAAAGGTTTGCAACGGTAGCTAAGTCTTGAGAATGCCCCCTGCCTCACCAGCTCTGCTCTGTTTGTCGCAATAGCTTCCCAGAAGTCTGCCTTGCCCTTGGCACTTTTCACATGACTTTCTATGGAAATGGGAACTTCGCCGAAGCATTGCAGCATCTCCAAAGCATCGGACCTTGGACGAGAGTGCACACACCCACAGCACCAATCCCAACGCCTGCACGACAAGTGATGAACCTATTTGGGACCTTCTTTTGGCTCCTTCAGCGTAAGTCAGTGTAAGGCAGGTGGCAAGGCAGCATCGGCAGCGGCAGGATCCATCCACTCTGCTGTTGGCTGCTGTGTTTGCTTCCGGGGTGCGAAGCCCATACCTGCAATAACTTCAATCCACTCCTCATAGATGTTTACTTTGACCTGACCACGGGCGACAATCTCATCCATATAGCCCACGTATCGGGTCCTGACAAGTTCCACCCAGAACCGTGCTGTACCTGGAGGTGTGAAAGTCTGCTTCTTACTTCTTCTTACCTAATGCAGGCTAACGCAGGCGAATCGTCCATGGCCAGGGCTTCGCCATGGCGACCTTCGCGACGCTCAGCTCGCTGCCTTGCGCGGCCAGGGTCTCCTCGACAGTCGGAAAGAAGCCACTCAGTCACTCCGATTCGGTCCCGGTATGTCCCGGTCGAACATTCCCAAAATGGAAAACAAGATGGGCATCAACAAACGCCAGTTCCGGCCTCGGCGTCGGCCAGCTTCGTTTGCAACTCGGCAGATAGGACTTGGCAACGTTCCCGCTCCTCTTTGGCAGCCTAACAGGGCCCAGTGAAGCCCCACTTACGAGGAGCCTTCTAGATTCACTGAACTGAATGGACCCTCTCGCTTCAGAGAGGAAGTAGCGCCTGCATCTCCAGCTCAGCCTGCTCCGAGACCTTGCGCCAGTTCTCGGCTTGTGTGTTGGTCGAGACACCCTGGAAGAGGAGCTCCCGGAAGTTCAAGAGCATCTCTCGCAGGCCCTGGAGTCCCAGAATTTCAGGGTTGAAGATGAAGGTTAGCTTAGGGTTTTGGTTTTTGAGGTATTTGGGGTGTGCTCGGCAGGTCGCGCGCTGGCAAACGGAAAGTAGAACCCCGACATGTGCACCCAAGACAGTGGGCTCGGGGCACTTGGGACGCTTGGTGCACTTGGGGGGCGATTTGGGTCACTTGGCACACTTGGGTCATCTGGGACACTTGGGTCATCCCTAGCTGTTCCACGTTGGCCCACTTAAGTGGCACCAAGCCAGCGAAAGCAAACGAAACACGTCGCATTGACTCAAAGCCAGGTTGCTGGGTTGGGTAAGGGGCGTGAAGGGGGGAGGGGAGTGTTGGTGTGGGCCTGCTGGCTGAAGCACACATGGACATGACGTGAACCTTGAGCACGAAACCGCTAAACATCTGTCCCCCAAGCCTCGTCGTTCTCATCCAACTCTGCTCCTTCTCCAGCGATGAGCCTCTGCATGTACGCGTGGTGCTTCTCATGTTCCGCGATAGTGACCATCTTCATGCGATCAGCTCCTTCATGTGCTGCCTGACACTGCGCATTTGCGGAAGCTGCCCCCTAGCTCCTGCTAGCTGCCCCTATGAAAGTTGACATTCTCTTGCAATGCCCAGGCACTTTGAGCGTCGACACATTGATCTCGTCTGCTGACTTTTGCATGCGCTCTTGCATCTCACTACCGATGTCATGCATCACCGAGCCCAGCTTCTCTTGAAGACTGACATCTTGATTCTTGAGTTGCTGCGAAACCTGACTTGAATAGGTTTGGACACTTTCCAGGACCGTGTCAATCTGGCGCTGCTGGTCGGTGGCATACCGCGTTACCTGCTGCGACATCTTCTCCTCTGCAAAGTTGAAGGCCCGGAGACACATTCAACTCGTCATTTCTGCTACAGGAACAAGACAGGATTCGTCGACACCTTTTCCCTGCTGCTCTCAAACATTCTGTTTGCTATTTGTATACTAGACCCGGGCGTGATTTAGATTGCAGACTTGATTTGGTGCACTCTTGATTGATACGAGCGCTCTTGCAGCTTCGCCCAATCGAATTGTCACGACTCAACCTGAAACAGAGATCAAGCCATTTGCATGTCTAGCTGGTTCAGTATGAGCCAGAACACGCAAGATGCGAAACATTGTGAAACTGTTCTGTTCAGCTAGCTGTGCTTCCCGAAAGCAAGCTGGAAGAAGCGTGTAAATGGAGAGCATATCGAAGTTGATATCAAAGATATGGGATACCAACCCCGATCCTGGAATGAATCTTACATATACGCGCGCGCATGGTTTCATAGCCCAATCACCATGTAGATAGCCCAGCCCCGCATGGAAGGTAGCCCAACATGTCAAGAAGACAGCCCAGAACCCAAATCCCGAGGGCACGCAAGGCCCAAAACATGCGACAATGATAGGAAACATTCTCGACCTTTTTGGGGATAGCAGCTGAGACTAGGCTTGAAACTCTGGAAAAACGCATGCTTCGTGGAGTCTTCCAGCAGGGCACAGCGATAAAACAGTACCGCTGCCACAAATCCACCGTGATCGTTTCTTTGACGCGCTCTCTCGGCGATAGCCACGTGTGGCCAGCTTGAAAGTCTGAACAAATGCATGTTTCGTGAGTCTTCCTGCAGGGCACAGCGATAGAACAGAACTGCCATTTCACACGTACATAAGCTCAAGAGAATGACTTTGGATGGGGGGTCACCGTCTGGGCACCCTTGCATGCAGCTTCTCTGGGTTGGAACTCCTTTGGGGCTTTTGTAAGGGATTTCGCATTTCCTTGTTAAGGCTTGTGATTCACCAACAAGTTGCGTACTGTAGTGTTCAGGGCTTGCCTGACGTGGTTTCACAATTTCAGGATTACATGTGCTGAGCCGAAGAAGACGCAAATCCACGCTGACTGTGCAACATGTCAGCATATCTTATAAAGTTTTAAAGCATTTTCAAGCTAGAGGAGGGCACTGTGTTGCAGCTTACAATTTCGCTCTCCCAAACCCGGTCCTCTATCAGCTGCGGAATGTTGCTTGTGGCTTCTTTCACAGCTTTCTCCACAACGTGCTCAACCGCAGAGAGCAGAACGGACTCATGACCCTGACGTGAATCTGAAAGCTCATCCACGAGATTCGAATACTTGTTCATGGCCTCCCTGAATCGTGCCTCAAAAAGACTGATCATGATTGATCGTGGTTAGTATGGCATCACTTCGCACCATCACATTGCAGCTATAGGGGTCCACAGGGTGCGCGAAAACCATCATCCAGAGCAAGGTCGACAGCCTGGTGCATCCGAGTGACGAACTCCGAAGTCGTGATGTACTCATTCAGAAAGCTGATCAAAGAGCGATTTGCGTCTTCGAGTTCGCTGATGTGACCTTTTAGCTGCCTGCACGGCGCAGAATCATGCAGAATCAGAAATTCCCCCCCCCCCCCGCCCCCCTCCCCCCCACAGCATATTAATGGCATACATTGACAACATACAGCGCTTGTTGTCGCATAGACTTCCCTGGCCTGACCACGTGGTCATCGGACTTTCGCCACGCGACAAACTGGGAGCTCCATCCCTCCAGGATCTGAGCCACCACGCCGCTGTTCAGGGCGTGGCCGACTTCCTCACGCACCGCCACTCCTGAGAGTCTCATTTGCAACGTTCTCAAACAGATTAGGAGAGTAACTTTATTGAGTCGATTTGCAACGTTCTCAAACACCTTAGGAGATATTAGGAGTAACTTTCGGAGTCAACACGTGTTTCAGGCGCGACGGACAACTTTGCAGCCAGACCCAAGGCTCGCAGGTCAGGATATGCATCTTCTTGCAGCGGCCTTGAGAGATTGGGTATATTCCCAACAAAAGGCTTAGAGGAACCCCGGTGCCCGTAAGATCCCCTTAAATCAGTGCTCTCTTGCTGAGGCCGGGGCGAGAGCCGTGAACTGGCCCATTGTCGAGGAGACCTTCGAGGATCCACGGGTCCAAGACCTCTAGCGTTGCAGAACGACAATGTTTCTATTACAGCTGCGCGCTGCTCTTTGCTGCTTCTACATGGATTCGTTCCGAGTCTTGCTGGCGACTATCAGCATCCTTCCCCCAGCTAAGGTCTGAGCTGATGTCGGATGTGGCTCCCGTCCCCATTCGCGGGTCTGTGGCCTCCTGGCACGACATCGCAATCCTTGACACCAGCTCGATTGGAAGACTTTCGATGCTGAGTCCCGGGCAGTATTCGTCATTGTGGGGCTTCCTGCACGGAGGCTGTCCTGCAAGTGCCGCATGTCGTATTCAATGGTCCCAATAGGGCGTGCTTGCAAGTTAGCTGCTGAGTGAGGTTTGCAGCATAAGTCGGGCAACATCAGCGCGGATTCGGGAACCCCATGTTATCGTTGCTATGCCAATGCGCCGTTTTTCCAGGCTTTAGGCCCCCGCCGCTCCCCCAGTTGCCACGAGTGCGGCACTGCAACACTCCCACATTCTATGCCAGAATTCGTGTAATATCTGATCGACATTCCTTCATCCCCGGATTCATCCTAAATTGAATAGGCTCCTTCGCAGGAGCAAAAAACCCTCGCGGAACTTTCGCGGACCCATGCTGTGCTGCTGTTATCAGCCCAACTTTCAAGGCTTGAGTCCCTGCCCCTTCGAGGCGAAACAAGCGAATCCACATATCCAAAACCCGAAGCCCTAGATGGTTTAGGGTTAAGGCCAGAAATGTGCAGGGTGATGTCCTGGCAAAAAACAAGGCTCCAATCGCCTGCGCAACCCTGAACTTTGAACCCAAATCCTGTTCACCTTTCTAAAACCTGTACCTCCACAGGTTCGGACGGGCTAAGATGAGCATTCGCGCGACTTACACGGATCCTTCGCACGCGCAAAATCCCTGCTGCGGATTTCGCACGTCTTTGTGAGTCGAGAAGGATGAAGTGAATGCAGCCCGAGTTTACTTGCCTTGAACCGCAGAAGTCGGATGGGGTAGTCTAGCAGGAATCTGAGTGCCTGGAAGCTGCTGGCATCGTAGGACTAAACCTGGATGAGGTAAAAAGGTTCGCGAAATATATTATATACTTTCGCCATGCCATCGGATTGTTCCTTTCGCGGACACAGACCTTCATGTTGTGCGTGTCACGACATACTAAACTTCCCACAAGGACCTTTGAATCAGCAGCTTCGAGATTCGCGAAATGCGATGACCTACATGCATCCCTGCCTGTGGCAAATTATCATGCAAAAATTGACTCAACGAACAAGCTCCAACTGCCTGGGTCAGCTTGTGCAGTGTTTCTTGCAAGAATTTGTGCGACCTTAAACGAGCACGGAGTTCGGTCTTGCAAGCTGTAACTGTACGAGTAAGTAGTGGAACTGCGCGGTTAGGTAGCTCGGCGCACTGGCCTCTGGCCGCATCTCCCCTCTGCCACCCCCCGCCCCAGGTACCTCGGCCCTCTCCCCAACATAACCGGTGCCCCAGGTTTTTGCCCGACAAACTGCGTTGTTGTTGCGCGTGCAAATCCCAATATGCACCAGCAGCCGTGGGGGGTCCATGTAGGTCGCTGGAGAACTCCGAGTCATGTTTCTGGAGGCCCCACGAGGGTCACCAAAACGATCTCATGGCTAAACGCAAAGGCTGAGGGGCTTTCTTCAGGTCGCCCTCAACTTCCTTGCCAGCGTCTCTCTTTGCAGGCCCTGTTCGGCAGACAGCCTCTTGCTCTAGGGGCCCCCGACTCAAAAAAGGAATGTTGAAGTGGCGGCTTCTCACGGGGGGAAAACAATTAGGGCAGAGCCTCATCCAGCCTCTGTGTATCGAGAGAGAAACCGACCCAAGAAGAGCATGCATGAGCATGCCACAGCCTCACCACCCAGCCTCCGGAAAAATCGCAAGAGCCCAGTATCCCAGCGGTTTTGCCATCTCAGCCTCTATTTTGACTCTTTGACGCCCTTGACCCCGAGAGAATGTCTAAGCGAATCATGGCGGCTGAGGCAGACACACTGACAAGAGAATCAAAGGTCGCTTGGGATTGCGGTGCTTAAGCGCTCGACTGGGGGCGTCCAAAGCCCGGAGCTAGCCATGGCTCCATGATGGCAGAATCTACGATCTACTCTACGACACTGCTTATTCGGTGCATCAGCGCCCCTGTGCAGTCCCATAACAGACCGGCTACTCGTCTCTGCGTCATACCATCTCGTCGGTCTTTTGTAGTCGAGCTGCTGCTTATGTGGGCAGACTGTTGACAGCAGTCACTTTAATCCACTGCTGAGCTTCAGTGCTTGTGGCTAACAGCAAAGCAGCGAGCCGCTCAGTGAGGAAGCCATCTGGGACTGAGAACTGCATTTGCTTTCTCTCTCTCCAAGCTGTTGGCCCAGCGGAGATCTAGGCGGTGCCAGCAACTCTGCGACCATGGCTGCAAGCTAGGCAGGGCGCCTTCCTAGAAGTAAATGCAATAGACAGGGCTTCCTGGGGCTCAACAGCTGCCTTTCCCACGTAGGGAGTCAACACGATACAGCTTGCATCGGCAAGCTATGTTTGAGAATGAAAGTTCGAGGACCGTACCAGCAGCTGATTCGCAGATACAGAAGCGCAAGACTAGTTACGAGTATGAAACATATGCGATGATACGGCCAGATCGACTGCAGTTTTCGGCTATTCTCACGTATTCTCGACTCTGCATCATGGATGAGGTGTATATGAAGTGTATGTTGGCGGCGCGAGCACGGAAGTCACTAAAGAACAGCAGGCACGACGTGGCACGACCACCAGCCATGCATTGTCCACATGGCAACTAGGAGGGGCTGCACGTTGTGGTATCGCTGCAGCAGCCGCTGAAGTTCCAGCTTTCTCGCCTGCTTCTGTTCCTGCAGAGGAGTTGAGACTGAGAGCTCTCAGAGTTCAGCTGCGGCATGCGATGTGCGGATCCAAAGTCCTCCCGACCAGAGACGATGCGCTTCGTCAGGCCAGTCATTTCGAGGGACTGCTTGTGCAGGAACTGTTCCTGAACGTCATGTAGCGAAGATCGTTTCCAAGGTCTTGGAAAAATCAAATTAGACTGTGCGGTCCACGGGCTCCATATTATATATTTATGAATCAATAGGGAGGAGCTATATAAGTGTTTAAGAGACACCGATGCCCGGCAATTGATTTGAAAGGCGCGCCGCGCGGAATATCTTACGACACTCGGACGATTTGACTTAGTTGCGGACCCCGCCCTCGACCCCCAAGCAATCACACGGTCCTGAAAAGCCCGGCGAACTTGACTTAATTCAGGAGGCCCCTACTAAACAGGGTAGAACATTAAACTCTTTTCAATTGATGTTCCCCGGCCTCCAAGCTGCGGATCTTCGTTTCGCGTTTGGCGCTCCATGCCTCCCTTTCCTTCGCCTGCTTTTGTGAACGACGAAAGTGCTTCGGTCGCCAGCAGCCGAGAGTTGTCAAACCAATGTAACAACCAGGTGGGTATTTCCCAAAGTAGGGTACCCCTCTTGTGCCCAGAATAGAATCCCCCTAAAGGGACCCCCAAAAAGGGTACCCCGATTAACATATTTTCGGAAACTGCCAGGTGCATCAGAGCCGAGAGGACGGCCTCCACCACGTCAGCTTGTTGCTTTGTTTTGGCGGCTTCTGAGTACCTCTGAGAACCGGCCCAGTACTAAGGCATCTTCGACGTAAACACAAGGGCAGCAATGGGGGCAGCACTTCTTCATTTTGGCCAAGGTGTCCTGCAGCTGCCATGCGTGCTCTTCCCCCCTAGGGGCAACATCAAACCGTAGGCTCCTGGATCTTCCTCAAATTCAGCAGATCTTTGCTAAAGCGAGGATTTCGAGGCTCTGTCTCCATTTCGAACTGCGGACATGCTGGGTGACGTGGCAAAAGTGGCAAGCACAAAGATCCAACGCACTCAACGCCGCATGTCTTGAAGGATGAGAAGTTGAGAAGGCTCAGATCTTTGCCTTCTTCCGAGCTTCCGCAAACTCTTGATTATGCCTGGTCAGGCGGCTTAGCATGGAAAAAGGCACTTAGGATGCTCCCAAGCTGAAAAAGGGTCCAGGGGCAGCTACCGCACTCCATCGCTTGCCCAGCGTGCCTCTCTTGGAGCTGCGACTGCAGGCTGGCAGCATGTGCTTCAAACTCTGCAACCTGAGAAAGACAGTCTCTACCAATGTCTACCATGATCTTGCCGATGTTGGTCCCGGATTCGATGTCAAATGTGGTGCTCAACAACTCTAGAGTGCAGCACGCGCCTTCTGATCCCAATGTTGGTTGAACTCCTGAAGCTCTTTCATGTGTGCCTGTCAACACGCTGACAGGGGAACGTCTGCTCGACCGTCATGAACTGGTGAGCGCCTCTTCTACTCCCAGGCGCTGTGCGAGCTGCCGCTGCCGCAATGCCTCCAGAGCTTTGCCCTCTTGCAAGCATATTCAATTTTGCTACATCTTGCTACACTCTTCTGTAAAAGTGGAGTGGCCTCCCTCCTCTTGGCATCCGCTTTCTCTTGCAACAGCTCGAACCGCTGCCTGGCCACTGAGAGATCTGGGGCTGTGCGTGAACAAGCAGAAGAGAATGCTTGCAAGGTTGGGCCATACTCAAGAACATCCCGGTCAGTTCCGTGGCACATCTGAGGGATGTGCTTCACTTGCTCGGCATCCTCGTACTTGCCCTCTCTCAAACTTCACACTGCATAAGCAGCATCGATGGAATCGATACCTCATCTGCGGATTGCGCCTCGAGCTCAAATTGTCTGCGCTGGTGGTCGAGGGCCTCAACGAGACATTATGGTTCTTCCGTCTACGTCCTTCTACGTCCAACTGCCTCACAGAATATGGCCTCCGCGCATGCATCGAGATCACCCTCCTCACTATTCATCACAAACGGCTCGGACGCCTGGCTCTGGCAACTGTCTCGGAGGATATTCTATCTGGTCTTTCAACCATCTGCCCACAAATATGACAGCAGCGGAGCCTCAGCCATCTCGTTCTAGCTCCTCAACAACCCAAGGTCTTGGGCGGGTTTTGACTTATAGGCGTGTGTGAACATGTGGACGGGAGGCCCTTGCAAAAGGCAAAAGAACTTGATGCGACACGCGAACGGCAGACTTGGCTGAAACGTTCCGAGATCTTCGAAATCCTTCAAGAATCGCGTCTGCGATCTGAAACCCGCGACAAAGCATCCGCTTCCTCCAGCCACCACGAGGGACAAGACCACAACGGGGCTTGGAGCCGATCCAAACACGATTCATGAGGAAACGTATGGAAATATTCCGCAATCAGAAGTTGTCGGAACCCAGGCTTCGCCCTAGCTGCTAGAAGCAGGCAGATCGCGCATGTGTTGCCATCAGCTGCGTGAGACTCATAGGCCCGAAACACTTGACGAATCCTAACGAATGAGCGATGTCCTGAAAATTCAGGTTTTGTACACAATGTGCATCATGACATTCCTTGTCTAGATCGATAGCGAAGCGTAATGATTGGCCTTAGGCGACGACAACTGTGAGTGAAACGGGTGAGACCATGCACCTGAGAACAGCCTTGCCAGCTGGCTCAAGTTGTCGGAAAAGGCGTTGAAATGAACACCGTCCTGAGTGAGGACGTGACTGAACCCGGGTGACACCCAGACATGACTCTGGGAGACTCTAGGGCACCTGGCGATGCCACGCGATGCGCTGCGGAGGCTCTTCAAGGTCGAAAGCCATCTTCCTCGTCGAGCGAAGCCTTCACAATCTTCAGCTACTAAGGCTAAAGTCTCCACAGAGCTGTGAGAATTCAGAGTTCGTCGAGCTCACCTCGGCGGCCTTTTTGACCAAGGCCTATGCGCAACCCGGAGAACACAGAGAAGACTCTGCAATTTCTGAGACTCTCTGAGGACTGAGGCTCGTGCTGCACAATGCTCATCAAAGTTCAACATCCCCCGAGCCTCACACGTCAATCAAGTTTTCCACCCGAGCATGGTTCTGAACAGCTCCCAGTGCTGAACAAATCCCACCGGCTTTTTTGGGGACCCTTTGATACGTTCTCTCAGCTCTCCTCGAAGCGCGATTGGCGCTTTGCCCAAGCGCTTTGTTCACCGTGCTCTGCGCCACTCTCTGGGTGCTTGGCAATTCCGAGCATGGCCACGGACACTTCTTCATCCTTCTGGTCTGCACCGGCTTTGGCAACCTGCATGCGAGGCTGCTATCTCCCTTGGCAGGGCCTCACGTATGCGAGGGTCTCAAGCAAGTGTGTCTCAACCATGAAGTGCATGCACCGCCATTTTGCTTGGAAAGTAAGGTGTGGGTCCACGTCAGTTGGGTGAATTCAGCAAGCGCCTAATCTGGGAAACAGGCCTCTTAGGGCATCTGATGGGAATTGAAGAGGGACCTCTGACAGCTTCTTGGGTGCCGAGTGCAGCCGGGTGCCGATTTGCTTTTCCAGATTAGGTTTCAAGGATCGCTTAAAGGCGGGGGAAGGCAAATGACATGCAACTTTTGTGGCAGACTGGTGCTTGCCACAATGGCGTAAAAGGGATGCCCTCCCCCGATCGCCCCCACTCACAGACTTCTTGATTGGGGACTCTTTTCATGAACCCAAGGGGGCTGCGCTTGGGGCCCTTGGGCTTCTGAAATGCGGACTCTTGGAGGACTGTTACGTCTCTCACGATTCTGTCACATCTCTCTCGCAAGGCCATTGAATGTCTCTACCCAGCAAGTGTGGCACCGGCAATCATCAAGGATCTGCTTCGGGAAACAGGTGGGAGTGGCACAGATGACTGGCGCTGAAGGTTTGTTCTGGCAGCTGAGTCTTTTGAAGAGGCACGGCTGACATCGCGGCTGACATTTGTAGATGCCACGGTGGAGGCGCTGCCTGCGCTGATATTGCTGGACATGCGTCGGTAGCCGTCTTTAGAAATACTCTGCTTGCTAGAGGATCGCCGTTGGGTCATCTCCAGAAGTTCTTGCACTTCATCTGCCTCATTCTCTTCAGGCTCTTCCCGTTCGATCTTCCGAGGTGATTGTGGCACAACCTGATTGACGAAAAGGTCTCCCTCATTGGGAGGTCGAAACGACTCAGGATCTGGGATATTTCTCCATGGGTCCAATACTTCTGTTGGCTGACGGCAGTTGTCTTCGAAAGCCTCACCAAAAGAGAGCTGTCGGATGCGCCTCTCCCTCTCTGACCATGGCACAACCTGGCGCGAACGAAGCTTTTGCAGGTCATGGCCGTAGCGTCGCAAGTCTTCCTCGGTGACGTGGATATAGTTCTTGTACTGGGTCCCGTTGTCTGCCATGGAGATGACATTGGTGTTGAACATCCGGCCCTCGTGTATAGGTGATGGCATCGAGTCAGCATCCAGAACGGCGGGCTGGCTCTTGCTCTTGCGAGTTTGCTTTCCATGCTTGCCGCCGTGGCGATAGGTCTTTCCTTGGAGTCTGCCTGACTGCCCGATCTTTTCGAGAGCCGCCTGCATGTTGCAGTGTGTTCAGCGATGCAGTACCAGCCAATCGAACCAGACAAGCGACGCGTCAAGGGCTGCAAACACCTCTTAAACTAAACAGGTCCGTAAAAAGTACAGGAAATATGTGATCATTTTTGTCCTCTTCCCTGGCTTAGCACGAAGTGACTACACTACACACTGCAAGCACGTTGCAAGGCATGAATAAAACCGACTTTGTGATTCGTCGTCTCCTAACACCTTCATTGAGCCACAGCCTCCGGAGCGTCGCGATCAGGGTGACTTGGCAATCAACGAATGCAAGCGCAAGGGCAGAATTGGGCTCCTCCATCGCCTTTGCGAAATGGTCTGCCGCTTCATCGAAGCGACCATCTGTTGCATTCACCTACGTGCCGCATGAATTGCTCTGCACGAGACGACTCAACAGTTAGAATCGCTAGAAGCCCTCTTCGCTGGCCTGCCCGAGCCGATGATACGCACTCTTGCTCACCTCTTTGAGGGTATGCTGCGCAAACCTGAAGACAGATCTTCTGCAGAAGTCATCGGTGCCAGAAAACCCTACATCTGGGACATCTTTTTGCTCCCTGAGTCTGGGATATCCGACTTATTGTCCGCTGCGGCTGCTTTCTGGCGCTGTGCCGAGCTCAGGTGATACCTCGAGGAATCTTCGTCTCTAGACAAGGCTGAGGGCAATGAAAAAACATGCAAAGCCACACTCAAAGCTCAGTTTATTTGATCCACATGGGGTGGGGTTGGCTCACTGCAAGCAGATTCGGCTTGTCTGTAAGTCACCTTGAGCTGCAGATGCGATGCCCAAGTTGCCCACCTGAGCACTCAATAGAACTCACACGTTGCGCGACTTGTGCGACTTCCTGGGTTCCTGGAGGCATTGAGAAGCATCCGTGATGGCTTTCCGTTTTGAGGCCACAGCGGTGAAGCACTGCGCATCCTGCACACGCTGAACTTGATTTCATGTGTTGCTCAGCAAACGACGCTGCGCCACTTGGCATTGCAGGAAACGAGTGTGCATGCTGCATCCTACAAGGGTCCTACCATGTCCTATATAGCCTACCGTGCATGAGTCCATGCATCACTGGTTGTGCAGATTCGGGAGCCTTGGAGCCCATGCGGTTGGCATACTCAATCGCATGCTGATGATGGATGGCGGCATGCTCGGACAGCCCCATGGCCTCGCGTGAAGCTCTCGCTGGGTCATGCGAAGATGTGCTACTGAAAGCTCACGAAAACGGCCTGGAAGACAATGCCCAGGTTTGTGTGCGCTATGAGACGGCCTGTGCCATCCTGAGCAGGCGTACTGCAGGATCCCGACACACTGCATGCTCTGCACCATGGCGATGCAGAACACCGAGAACGGAGCTGCCAGCTCCAAGTGTTTGTTGTGGTACTGGATTGCTTCGTCGTACTGCCCTCAGGGGCTCTCAAACAACAGCATGAACAAAACACTGGCTCCTGCAAATGAATCCCAGGCCGCGCGGTCAGCGTCGCACCCTCCACCCCAGACTTTTTGTCAAAATCTCTTTACAAGAGCTCCTTCCTGCGGGACAAGCATGTTTGTCGAGGCCACCAGAAGATGTTGAGCTGCTGAGCACGAGGTCTTGCCATGGGCCAGACAAGCATGCCTCCCCCTACTGCAAACGACCGTCAGCTGAAGACACAGCACCTGCGCGCACACCAGAACCAGCAAGCAGCTGCCTTGCAGCGCTTGCCATCTATATCGGCATACCAGCTCCACCAGTGTCTGGGGCAGTGCTGGCCTGTGCTAAGCCAACCGTCACGTGCAGCAAGCTCAAAGGGTCAGAAGGAGCCCCAGATCGAGCCCAGATCCTATGCCAAAGTGGTGCCAGCTGCGTTGGAAAAGGGCACAGAACATGTCGGAGAACCAGCAATGACAGCCATGGGCTGGCTCTAGCCACTTGTAGAGATTGTAGAAACTCCAGAGCACCCACAATCAGCCCTGTTCCGTTGCAGCACAATTGACGAAGATTTGTGTGAGGCTTGTCTCTGCAAAGCCCTGGAGTGCTGAAGACACTACGCTGAAGCAACGTGCCCAGCACCTGCGGAACTGAAGGAATTCAGCTTAGCATTGCTGTCCGGAGGCCACGGACCCTCTGAGCTGTTTTTCACAACACTGAAGAAAAGTCCGAACAGCTCTGCTAAGCGTGGAAATGTCACATCACAGACGAAACAGACGAAATTGATGGAAGCTTTGTGTTCCATGGCCGGAGTCATGTTCACTCAGGCCCTTGGACTGCTATGCAGTACCACGGCTACCGCACCGCCACCTGGGAGCTTCTCTTTTCCATGAAATGGAGTCGATGGAACCGCAGTTTAAGGTATTAAGGTTTAGGCGGCCTTGGATTTTTCGGATTATCGGGATGTTTACCTGAGAGCTGGAATGAGACGGGGGCAGCGATGGATTGATTCCCATAGAGCTGATCTTACGCTCTGGAACTGAATCATGATTGATCCGAACCAACAACCCAGCGGGTTGCTGTCGGCAGCAAGTGGGTTTGCTGCGAAAATTCCTCGAATTCCGGGCTGGCACAGCTTCATCACACGAAGCCAGTGGTGTTTGACTGCATCGCAGTCAGACAACCTTGCCTCGTTTCACTGTCTTGTATGGCTCCTCTGCTCGGAACTAGAAAGTCTCACCTGATAGGCCATGCTTCGTATGGCGAAGCTGATGCCCACACTGGCCGTGCACTCTGACATCGCCGATGAACGGAACTCGAACCACACATCAGGATCAAAAGGTTTGGGACTCTGCGGCTCACTTGAGCAGCCTTCACCTTCCACCCAAACAGGCAGATTGAGGAGGAACCATTGTGCAAGTTGCAATTCCCAGGGTGCTCAACACACCGGGGATCAAAATCAGGACCAAACGGTTGGCTCACCTAACTCAGCAATGGACCTAATGATGATGGGCTGGTTCCGGGTGCTGGCATAGGTGTCCCTCGCACAGCGAGCTGGAGTTGCCAAGACCTCCCCAGCACAGATGGGAACTTCTGGTGGAACATCATCCTCAGGAGCCACCTGAAACTCGAGCATCTCGCCTAGACCTGACTGGGTGCTGGCAGTCGTCTTCAGGGAGCACGTGGCTGTCACCAGGTCGTCCAGATCAGAGCACACTGTGGTTTCATCAAAATCTCGAGACTGCTGCTTACAGAAGGGCTTCTCATCACTGGGCCTTCCACTCGATGCTATGACCCTGAGTGCCTCAAGCTTGCTGTGCAAGGGCATGCATTCCTCCGTGAGTGCATGGCTGGCATGGCTGCGGGTCGTTTCGAACTTCTCGGCAGTCTTGGCCAAGTGATCAAGCACACCAACTTGTGTCTTTGCTCCGTCCGCGTCCACCTGACCATGGCAGTGCTAGTTACAGTACGCGAAAACGATGCTAAACGTTCAATGGAAGACGAGCACGACCACGTGCAAGTAGACAGCAGTCCCCTCGCATTCGGGGCCCCTTCCATTCTGCAACCCCCCCCCCCCCGTGGCTACCTTTTGACAAGCACCCCGGGGAACAGCTACAGAAACGGTAGGATGCTGAGGGGCCCTGGAGCATCAGAAAACAACCGTCGAGCATAGGAGCTTGGAACATGTGAAGGGGGGAAACATGCGTACAGCACAAGCAAAACACCAGTCCCATGCAAATACTGTAATTAGTTTTTATGTACGACGCTTGAAGCAAGATCTGTAATTTGCAGCACCTGGCCCCAAACACCTGCAAGCCCTGCAATCTACAGTGTTGGCGACTCCGACCACATGCAATAGATAGTGTTCGCTACATTTAACTGCTCCGACCGAACACGTGCAAGCAGTGTTGATCCAGGCTGAGATTGCTGATGCAAACGTGCTGTTGACCTGTTGAGCATTGCTTGGCTTCTGAGCTTGGGGAAGGCATGGGGAGGGGGAGAGAACCACAAACTCCCCTTGTCTTGCATGGGGGGGGGCCTGGAAGCTGGTGTCTAGCTTCTGCTTGCCCACGTATCCCTCAGGAAAGGTGATGCTAACTGATACCTGAAACGGTGGAAGTCCATTCACACGGTAGGCCATGGCTGAGAAAATACGCATGTAAAGGTGCCAATGGCGATGCACATGAGTTGTAGATGCCTACATGTACACTGTGTTCACTGTATTGTATCTGTTGGCATACTCAGGAGATGCAGGGAATCACTCTTGGGAACAATGAGCTTGATGACAAGTCTGTCTCAATTTTGAGCAAACTGAGCAGGGCCCAGGGTCACGCAAAGTTGCTGCTGCTCAAGGATCTTCGTCTGACATCACAGGCGCCGGCCCATCTTGAAGCAGTCAATGCCCAGGCAGTTGTATGCCAATGCCTGTCGAATCCACCATATGTCAGAAAAAAAGTAACCAGCACCAGCCATTCAGACCACTTGAAACGCAAAGTTGCCCAGGATCACATGTCGAGGCAGAAGTCAGAATAGATCGAGCATCACTTCAAAATTCGAAGAATCTCATTCTTGCGTGGCTGCTTGAAAGTGTGACAAGAGCCCCCTCCGTTAGTTGGGTTATACTTGGGCTAGGCGGTCCCCCGCTACTAGTCTATTTTGTCAGACGTCACCTGGAGCGTCCAACCCGAAACCTGGACAGCAATGCCCCGACATAAACATCTACTTCCGAAGCTTTGAATATGTGTGAAGGAAGGGGTGCGAGTAAAGTAAGGTCGGAGAATCGGAAAGCGTGCGGAGACGAGAGCACTGAAAAGGGCGGCTGCTCGGTCCATGGCAAAGACGCAGCGCCTCACCCTGAGTGTTCTTCGAGGTGATGCACAAGGCCAAGAACTGCTTGTACTTCTGGACGGCCTGAGACCATCCAGCAAGTCCAACTGCATGTCCGACTGCATCCCTGTGAAGGCACCATCATGCACGGTCATGCACTGTCATGCACCATGCCTCCGGATACATGGCCTGGTTGTCGAAGACGACCCCCATCTTGTGATAGGCCTGCAGGAGAGGAACAGGAGTGCCGGAGTCGACTCGGCGCTCGTGCAATCGCGTCCGTGGACCTGTAAAGCCTGGTAAACGTTGCCGGAGCGGCTGGCCTTAATGTCTGTCAGACCGTCGTGCTGTCATGCCAGAGGACATCGGAGTTGATGGCAAAAGCTGTGGCTATCTCGCTCCGAGCTGCAGAGTCAGCCAACATTTTTAAGTCGGCTATCTGTTGCCTGCCAGTCTCATGTCCATAAGCGGCATATAAATAACCCACGAACGACTTTGCCCTGCCTATGGTCGTTAGCACTTCTGGACAGCTGCGCTTTCCGACGAATCCTCCGGACCTAGGAGTGCAACTGACAGGAATAAAGGCATCTGACTAAGTTAGATTACCGTGTCTTCGATTGAATGCTGTCCTGTCCGCCGGCTTCTTGTACAACATGAGGCACCCAACAAAAACGCGCCAAGAGCAGAGGCTGCAGGAGTGACAATGGCAGGGGACATCGTGAAGCAAGGAGACGGAACCAACCAAACGCAGCCAACTTGCCGACTGACTTCTTGGCTTGCATAGCAAAGGAGCTGCAGAAGCCGCCAATAAGACATCCGGCAACCTAGGCCCTTGCATAGTTCGCAGGCATTGGTGCCTGAGATGAAATCGCCTGCTGCCATTTGTCTGCAACTTCTGCAGCTGCAGCAAGGAGCAATGTAATCAGGCCTTTTTGCTGGTGGACTTCAGCATTTGGCTGCCTCCACCTGCTTCAAGGTGAGAATTACGCATGTTGTGTGTATGTGCATATATATATATGTATATGTACATGGTCAGTTCGCTACATTCTGGTCCCGTTAAGGTACCATAAATAAGAGGGGCCGCCTTGGAATAAGGACGCCAAAAAGGACCATAATTTCGAGAAGCCAACATATGTCTTCTAAAAGCCGAAAAATGTTCGGGTCTCAGTCACGTTTTGACCGAGTTTTTGCTGGAACTTCTCCACATTCTATGTTTGAGGGCTGAGATGGGGTCGAGGTGGGGGTTCGGAGCCTTGGTCCCCTTAGTAAATTGATCCTGTCAGCGCTTTTGGGGCTAGGAGTTGCATTTGCAACCCCATCGAAGCTAAAAGCGGGCCACATACAATTCTAAGCCTGACACCTGAGGATTTAGGGTTGCCGGACTAGGGTTTATGGTAAGAGGTTCAGGATAACTTAGCCAGGCCATGGCTCAGATATACACATAACAGACAAAGACCACGTGACACTACTAACGGCGGTCGGTACTCGTGCATGGATCATGCGAAGGGACATGTTCGCTGGAACACGTTGCTGCGAATGGCGATCGTAGCGCCGTCCATTAACAGATTCGCCGATTAGCATCTTGCCATCGGCTGCATCTGATCCATTAACATGTTCTATGCATCTCGGAAACCCAAGCGCAGCCCGTCTCAACGGTGAGACAATGCTCACTGCGAAGTGTTGAATCTCACCTCGTGCGAGATGCATGGATGAATGAGCACAACGACATCTCACCAAAGCTTGTCAAATGCTTCCAAAATCTCAGGCTGCCTGAGCCCCTTGCCAGGCTGGCATCAAGGGCAGGAGCTGGCCTTCACTGCTCTGCACGGCACATGAACTCAGTGGCTCAGTGGCTCTCGCACACCCTCGTGTGGTGGGAATGCTCAGCTGCACACACTCCCAGTATACCAAGGGCAGGCGAGGCCAAAACGCTCTGAAGCGAGCCCTGCCATGCTCCACAGAAACATGTCATCCAAAAGCACTTAAGCAGCGCAGCTTGGGCTTCTCCCAAACTACGCCACTCCTGCTTCACAAGCGCTGCCTCCTTGGCCAAGACGGTGCTTACGACAACCGCCGCCAAGGCCAGAAGTAGAAATACCGACAGGATGACCTTCTGAAGAAGCTGCAAGCAAGCACTGCTGGACTGCATTCAAGGATGTGCGTTCGAGACAGTATGGCCCCCACAACACCCTCCAACTTGTCCACCTTTCCGACCTGAGTGCTGAACACATCGGGCCGTTCCGTACAGATATCTCGTGAAACACCAGTGGAAGCTTCTGGGTGGCCTTGCATGCTTCCGAGGGCGCTCCTTTGCCCTCGCATGAACAGTCCGGCTGCGAAGCGCTGAAGGACCCACCATGAGGCTTCACCGACCAATGTTCCCTCTTTGTTCCCGCTGCAAAGCACAGGAGCCTGCGCTAAGATATTCTAGTATCCGATAATGAACACAAAGCGTAATAGTACCACTCGCCAAGTATCAGTGATCGTGATGAGTGCAAGATCAGTGAACATGTTTCCAGCAACTACACGCGTGTATGCTGCTGCCTGTGTGGCTCAACAGTTGCTCCAAAATAGTGCACATGCTGCCGTGATCTGCTATGCTGTGCAGCCAGGAGCGGCAAAGCTGCGCTCGCATGTTCTCAGTCGACTCCGAGTGTTCTGAGCAGGGCTTCGGATGTGCTTGGAGTGGCTTAGAGATTGGGGCTTAGAATGGGAGAATGGGTTGGCACATAAGCTTGACGCAATGCCTGGTGCAATAAGCACTCGCATCCGGCCTCTCGAGGGCGACAAGGACCTCGCTTCGGCTTCGCCTGTGATCCCACTCCCTTCAGCCTGTGATGCCTATAATGAGCCTTGCTAAGTCTTATGCGCTTCTCGTTGAAACATGCATCGCGGGAGCCCGCACCAGCAGCGTGGGATTTTCCGGGGCGTGCTTGGATTCAAGTTTTTCTCGGGCCTGATTGCAGTAGTTGTGTGCTGGGCCAACTGTGGAGGCATGCAGGTGCGATTGCCTTGCTTGTACTTCCAGGTCATTCCCGGCGTCTGAAAACTGTCACAGGCCTGCAATCAAAAGTTGCTCTCCTTGAGAGATTGATCTTGAGATACGAGTCATTCTCGACAGCAAGAAGGCACGGCTTGGAGATTCCTTCAAAGCCCGAAGGACAGGATGTTAGTACTCTCGGAAAAGAGAGAAAGACCTCAATAGCGTGTTTCGTGAGAAAGAGTCATGACTCACGACTTGAAAATGGAGCACGGTTCAGCTGCCAGTTATGTGCAAGAGCCACACTGAAGGAAGAGTCTCTTGAACACAGGTGCGACAAGCTGGCCTTGTGCCGATTCATCGGCGCAGGCTGCCTCAAAGGCGAACTCGGCTCGCCAGAACCCCGAAGTGGGCCGAAGCCATGCGACTGCCACGCCACGGCCTCCAAAGTTCGGCAGGGCGTATTGTATTGCCACGGCGTCGACGCGCGCTGCAGCGTCATGACCTTCTGAAAGTGGCATGGACATGCTCGGCCCTGTGCACCGCAGAGGCAGAGTACCACAAATCGCTTGCACGAAACGTACTTACTCAGGCTGCGGCATTAGGCAGAAAGCTTGGAGCATCTAGGGCGGTAATATTTCGCAAAGCTTCTGCTGGGTCATCCTGTTATCTCAAACAGCCCCCCATCATGAAATGATCTTGCGCAATTTCTCGCAACTCTCCCGAGAGGGCACTCCTTGGAGTTGTGAAGGCACAAATGACCAAGGTAACCAAAGCGAGCCTGAGTGACACCACGCGAGCATGAGTGTATCATTCGCGCATGCACTGAATGCAGTGCATGCACATGCAAGATCATGCAATCACGTCGTGCATCAACGTGCATCTAGCGCACGAAAGCGTGTCGGGGCCGCCTGTGAGGTGGGCAAGAACTTCGAATTCACAGAGTTCTTCTTCAGGCTTCGGCCCTAGCGTGATGCAGTCAGAAAGGAATCAGGCTGATCAAACCAAAACGAAGCTGTGCCCGCGACTTCCGGAGATCTGGAGCCAGAGATCTGAGGGCCAAAGAAGGCAAAGACAACAAGTACTAGTACCAAGATGCACCACACATGTGCCACATGTTGATCCAGCCTCTGGTAGGTTAGTTGACATCTTCTTCGAATCCTGCTAGCCAGGCAGCTCGACTCTAGATGGAAACTCAACAGCAACTGTCCTGGACAGCAGCCGGCACGCTAGGTTTGCGTTGTACAACTGGATTTGTACATGAGAAGACGCGGATCTAAACACTATTTCTTGAGCCCATGGGCTGGTCATGGCATGCTGAATAATTGTCTCGGCGGCAACCGTTCATGAAGCGCTCCAACTCGGCAAGCCAACTCGGCAAGTGAGAGGAGCGAAGTAGCCCCATACAGCGCAAGGCTATGGGCTGCCATAGGCATGCTTCTTCCCTCCTACTGCTACTACTACTACTACTACTACTACTACTACTGCTACTACTACTACTACTACTACTACTACTACTACTGGTACTGGTACTAGTACTAACTACTACAACTACTACTACTTCTGCTACTGGTACTAAAACTAGTACTACTACTACGACTACTACGACTACTACGACTACTACTACTACTACTACTACTACTACTACTACTACTACTACTACTACTACTGGTACTACTACGACTACTACTACTACTACTACTACTACTACTACTACTACTACGACTACGACTACGACTACTACTACTACTACTACTACTACTACTACTAGTACTACTACTACTACTACTACTCCTCCTGCTGCTGCTGCTGCTGCTGCTACTACTACTACTACTACTACTACTACTACTACTACTACTACTACTACTACTACTACTACTACTACTACTACCTACTACTACTACTACGACTACTACGACTACGACTACGACTACTACTACTACTACTACTACTAGTACTAGTACTACTACTACTACTACTACTACTACTACTACTACTACTACTACTACTCGTACTACTCGTACTACTCGTACTACTCGTACTACTTGTACTACTGGTACTACTCGTACTACTCGTACTACTCGTACTACTCGTACTACTCGTACTTCTCGTACTACTCGTACTACTCGTACTACTCGTACTACTCGTACTACTCGTACTACTCGTACTACTCGTACTACTCGTACTATACTACTAGAACACTACTAGTATACTACGAGTGTTCTACTAGTATACTACTAGTATACTACTAGTATACTACTAGTATACTACTAGCATACTACTAGTATACTACTAGTATACTACTAGTATACTACTAGTATACTACTAGTATACTACTAGTATACTACTAGAGTCTACTACAAGTCTATTACAAGTCTACTACCAGTCTACTACAAGGATCTTTGTTTTGGCCCGTAGAAATACTATGAATAAAGTCAAGCGCATAATGCAAAACCTCTTTCACGCACCCATTCCGTTCATTTCATATTAAAAGCGTGCATGAAATGAATTCATTATTGGCACGCGCACTACGTTCTTTCACTACGTTCATGAGTTCGTTCGCCAATTTTCATATGGGCGCCATATGAATTCCTTGTTAGCGCCCTTTGTAATACCATTTTGGTCTTCTTCCGTTCATTCATTTCATGCTAGTCTACTACTAGCATACTACGAGTAAACTACTAGTAAACAACTAGACTGCTACTACTGCTACTACTACTACTACTACTACTACTACTCCTACTACTACTACTACTACTACTACTACTACTACTGCTACTACTACTACTACTACTACTACTACTACTACTACTACTACTGATTACTACGACGGCGACCTCCACGACGACTTTCTCGAAAGCTCTTCTGCCTCCCGGCCTCCCTCTCCACTGATTCCTTATTTTCGGAACACCCTCAAGCCTCAGGCTGAAGAAGCCTTCCCATGGATATCCACGGATCATGTTCAGGCCCAACTCGCATCTGAGGACTGAAGGGCGGCTTCCTTTTTTTGTGCGTCATACGTGAATATGGTCAAAATATAAGGCATTGCAGTTTGCCCCTGACAAGTTTACCTTCGGAGACTGGTCACCTGCCATCAGGGCCTTCAGTGAGAAATTAGGGGGAACTTGAAGAGTGAGGGGTCACTTAGCTATGCCGGATTCTACGAATCTCCGAGTGTCACTTGAGTCAGTGGGCGTGTTGCAGCATTCGCGCGCAGATAACCAAGAAAATGTCAGGTCACAAATGCCTGAAGTTTAACGAATTCGGGAAGCCCCCCACTAAGCTGCTGTTGGCGAATCGGGAACCAAGGAATCGCCAAAAGCATCCGCCAGGTTGGCATAACCTGTCGCGCGCAACTCGAGAGTGCTACATGCAGGCACCGCCTAGGCTGAGAGGCCCCTGAGATTGTCTGAGGCCACAGCTTTTCTGCCACTCCTTGGACGGAATACGACCCGCAGGCCAAAACTGGACCTTGGCGTTCCCCAAGTTACAGGTACCACAATTGACAACATCATTTGCACTGAACCCTCAAGTATGTCAGTATGTGTCACACCACAGCTTGTGCGATCTTGTGCGGATGCGTGCGGCGTAGGAGGATGCGTGCTCAGTGTGCCCGAGGCTTCCGGCGCTGGTCAGTGGCGGCGCTCCGTACTTTGCGATCTCTTGGAGCATTTCAGCGGAAGGCTGGCACGCGCAAGTTTCTGTGCCAATGAATCTTGCCTAAGCAGTTCCTGCGTGCGCAGCATCTTGCCCCCCACCTCCGGGGGCTCGGAACCCGTCATCCTTAGCAAGGCCGCGAAAGATGGCGATGGGCCACACAAGTTCCTTGTAAATGCATTTCTGCGCTCTTTGTGTCGCTGCATCTTCCAGCTCAGGGCCGCTCCAGCCATGTTGGAGACACTCGGCTGCCTAAGACACATCCACTCTCAGTCGCAAAGGCGTGGTACATGTGGTCGTCTCAGTCTTGGTAATCTCGTTGACTCGTCACTCACCATAACCCTTTGGACGCTTAGGCGGGGCTGGCGGAGGAAGGCGCAAGGGTCAACGCAGGCCCGAAAGATGAAAGGGGTCTTTTTGGATGCAACGCGCGATCTGAGGCCGCTGCCGTGGGGCGCGTCACGGGTTTGACGGACAGCAGCTGTGCTACCAACTCTCTGCAGGAAGGGCTAACGTGGCACCAGTACCTGCACCCAACCACAGCCGTGGCCCGTAAGCATGCCACGAGCTACAAGCAAGTGCGACTACGCTCTGTACGTCTCCGCAGACCGCTCCCCGCGCCCCCCTCCGTGCCTCTCGTCAAACTCCGGCTGGTTGAAGACAGACGGCGGTTCAAATGGAGCATATCCGGCAAGGAGCCTGTGACATTGTATGGCGACTGTGCATTGGATTGGATGCCTGCCTGCCTGAAAAGGATGAGACCAATCCCGAACATGTCAAGATTGAAGCTGTAGCCTCAGTCGCTGTGGTGCACTGGCGGATGTGGAACGCGTGTGGATTCAGACTCGGAAACCATGAGCACCAGTGGGGAAGCGCAGCAGTTCACATGCATCTATGCATGACCCTCTTTCGTAGTGGCATGGCTGGAAAGTTCCCTCCTTCTTTGGTGTGATGCAAGATGAGGCGCCGGGGGGGGGGGGGTGGGAATCCCGAGTTACATTCCTTGTCTTCCAGTCGACGGATGACAAAGGACGTAGATTGGAATGCGGAGTTTTGATGTCGCAACATCGGGTGAGAAACGAGAAGGGCGGAACGGCTTCTTACTGGTAGCAGGGGGCCCTGGGTTGGGATGGGTGTGTGGCGGGGAGGTGGAATAGAGTCTGCCAAAGCTCGCAATCGGAGCAACAAGGTTCTGAATCGCAAGACCAGATAGTTTTCCGAATCACGAGCCGGAAAGGCAGCCTCTGAGTCGCGGGTAGTTTCTGAAGCATTTCTGAACCTTTTTTGATAGTGATGCTTTGTGTTGGAATGCGGGGCTCGATCGTGTCCTCAGACATGACATTTCTCGCAGAGCCATCTGGGTCTGCAGCTTTCTTCGCTCAGCATCTCCGGAGCAAACCTTGGCAAGGTAGCTCAGTTAAGTCAAGTGCTTCGCAACATCGCTGCTGGCCACTGCATCCACGAAACTCTAAGCTCCGTTCCAACCATGTGTGCCTCTCAACTCACGATGGGTGAAAACTCCTGACATATCGGTGGCACATCTGAGGGCACCTTTCAAGAGATCTCATAAAGCCAACTTCCGATGTCACTTAAGACTTCACAAGGCTTCGCAAAGGCTTCGCAAAGGCTTCGCAAAGGCTTCGCAAAGGCTTCGCAAGGCCTCCAGGCTGGTCTGGATGCTCCGCAAAGCCGAAGTCACAGAGCTGCACAGCGAAGCGGTCGTCCACTCCTGAGCTTCTTCATGGCGCCCTGGTGCAGACTGGCGTCTCTCTGTTGCTTGCGATGCAGCTGTACACCGTTTCAGGTCACTCGTGGCGTACAGTGCCTCGGAGCCTCAACCCCTCCCTGCGTCCTTTCCGGAATTGGGGCTTTCCAAATTCACGCGCCTTTTGACTTAGGAAAGTTTCCGCCTCTGCAGGAGGCTTCGGGATGTAGGCCTCCACCCTGAAACCAAAAAACGGTTCTGCCGAAGTTGGCCAATAACATCCAATACCATTCCAATACCCCCAACACGAGTCCTCACCAGCGACACGTACTTTCAAACCCCAAACCAGCTTTGCAAGACAGAATCTTCAAGCATCTTGAACCCAGTTGAGTGAGCGCGAAGTCTTATCCAAATGACTGTCTCGCTGCAGCTAAGGTGCTGAACAGCAGGAAGTTGTGCGGCTTGATGTCGCCGTGCAAAAGGTCTTGGCAGGTCGGAATTGCACATGGTACACGGCCATATTACGGCCTCACCCCCTCTCTCTGGGCGCGATGCTGGCCACCGTGTGGATATGGTGCAAGGCACTCCTCAGAGGAGGTCCAATGAGTCCAAGTGCCAAGATGTGCCCCATGTAACAGCCAAGCGGCACGAGTTGGCTTGCACAATTCCTCACTTCCTTCTCGCAGTACGTCTGTCCATACCTGCGCGGAAAACACACAACGCAGAAGCACACAACGCAGAAGCACACGGCGGAAGCACACGGCGGAAGCATCCTGCGAACATTGCG